TTTTGAAGAGAGAGATAAGACTGGGTGAGTAAATATGGAGAGAAGGGCATTCCAGGCAGAGAGCAGAGGAATGAACAAAACTGAAGGTGAGGGGGGAGCTGCAGGCTTTGCTATAGTCAGAACGCGGTCTTTGTGGGGAGATGGCAGAGGTAGTTGGAGAGGTGGGCAGAAACTAGCATATGCTGGGCTGAGTATTGGGCTTCATTCTTTTTTTTTTTTTTTTTTTTTCCTCCCCCAAGGATTTGTTTTTTTTTATTTTAGAGAGAAAGGAAAGGAGAGAGAGAGAAACATCGATCGGTTGCCTCCTGTACAGGGATTGAAACCCCACCCAGGTATGTGTCCTGTCTGGGACTGGAACCCACAACCCTTCGGTACACAGGACAGTGCTCCAACCAGCTGAGCCCTACCGGCCAGGGTAGGAAGTAATTGAAGGATGCTGAGCATGGAACTAACATCAGAGCTGTTTTTTAGGAAAGAAATTTTTGCAGCAAGTGGTAAAGGGCAATCTGTCTGGACATGGCACTATGTAGAGACATCTAATTAAAGAGGACGTGTATCTGGATGATAGAGGTAAGTAGACTTGAGGAGGGGTAAGGAAGAAGATTGGCTAAGGCAACTTGGCGGCTGTGGGCGCTGTTACCTGAGAAAGGTAATATGGGAAATAGAAGTTTTTTGGACTATCATGAGTTCCATTTGGTTATGGTTAAGATTGAGGTGCTTGTGAGTCATCCAGAAAAAGAGATGTATCAGGCAGTTGAATGGGTTGATTTGGGCTACCGAGATTTGATATATCCCAGTAGAGTATAGGCAGTAATGAAAGTTTGTGTAGAAGTGAGCTTTTTCTGAAATGAAACTGTACGTTTAGAAAGATACCAAAAGGAGAACCTCGAGGAATGTCAAACATTTGAAAAGGAACCAGCAGTGAGCAAAGGCCGCGGAAGCATTCCTGCTGTCCCTGAAACCGAAAGGGGCCATTGTAAGACTTTACCAGGAATATCTTAGGTTGACTTTCTGGTATGCAGTCGTTATGTTGACTTTCTGGTGTACATACACACCAGGTCAGCTATGTCTTTGTGTTCTTTAGCTGATTTGCTCTTAGGACAAGCTTTACAAAAATTCAGAGTTGTGATTTCATAAGAATGAAACTTAGTAAAGCATTTTCCAAATATAACATGCTTTGCCTTCATTGTACTTTTGCATTCCTGAAATAATGATCAAGCAGTGTATCTATCACTCTCCTCTACACAAGCCACATAATTTCAAAAGTGGAAAAGGTATTCCAGAGAGAAAGCTTAGAAGCAGAAGGAGTTCCTGGGAGTGGAAATGGTAGTAGCATACCCCCTGTAGCAGATTTTGGAGGTCAAGAAGTGGAAGACCTGGCAGTTAGCTGTTAGTGGGTGGGTATTGGGGCATACATTGACCAGAGAAGATAATTTAGGTGTTCAAAGCCTTTGAGAAAGGGCCTCGTGATTCTTAATGTTAGAAACCAGGAGATCTGTGTGATGGAAAGTAACCTCCCTTTTCCCCAAAGCAGACACGCGTACCTTGCGACAGGAATAGGTTTTGAAGTGTGGTGAGCAAAACAAACTCTGCTGAGCACCTTCATTTCATTGCTGGTTTCCTCAGTTACCGAACTCAGACAATTCCAAATTGTCTTTCTATCCTCTACTCCCCAAATGAGAAAGCCTTTAGCTTGTCATTACGGTACTTCACTTGGCTGTCAGTATTTTCACATTAGTAATTGGGTGATCTTGGCTGGGGGTGGAGGGCTGCTCTGCCCTTTGTAAGATTGGCCCACACGCCATTGTACTCAGGTCCCCCACAGGCGCAGAGGCAAGCTGGCTGGATTTTTAATGCAAAAGCATGTGGGCGGGTGGATATATAGTGTTAGACTTTTTCAAGGCAAGATAAAGCCCATGCACCTAATGGGGCCACCGGGAATAAACTTGACAACACACAGAATTTTTCTTTCTGTTTTTCTTGTCCTACATCCAGCAATTTAAAATACTAAGAACAGGGATAAAGTGAAAATTATTCCATACCTGTATCTATTGTTTATTGGTAATAATCAACACATTAAATATCTGCTGGATCCCAAAATCTTACTCTTTGTATGCATACAGTACATAATAGATATATTGTATATCTGAGGTAGCAAAACTTTTATGGGGGTGGTTGATGATTTTTTTAAAAAGGCTGGGAAATTCTGGGTTATCTCGTTCGAGTACTTGTAGTCAGCCTGTGTGTCTGTCTGAGATGTTAGTGCACTTCCTTTCTTTTTCTCATCTCTCAAACTGGGCTAAGGGTGATAAACTCATAAGCTCAGTCACCAATCTGAAGTGCTTTAGGAATATATGTGGTACTTTTAGGATTATGGCAAAATATGTGACACTAACACTTACCAAGAATATATGTAATGCTTCAAAAATACAGAGTGTCCCAAAACAATGTACACACGCTTTAACAGCTGATAAATCACTTAATTTTCACTCCTTTTCAGGTTTAACTGATTTGAAATTATGGGTGAAGCCAGACAAAACTTTGAACAAAGAAAATTTATCCTCAAGTGCCAATTTTTTTAATGGGGATATATAAAAGATAAAGTTTACGGTGCAAAACGGGCAACATTCAACAAATTGAGGGCACACAAATATTGAACAAAATCATTCTTGATGTTTGCGATACCATTGCTTCACGTTATCAGCAGTGCCTGGACCAGAACAGTCATCAGTTTGAAAACAGATATTGACCAAAAAAAATTATTCATTAGATTATTCTGTAGATTCTTTTAAATTTTGAAAATGAATTGTATATTAATAAACACTGACTTTATGATTCAAAGTGTGTATACATTTTTGGGACATCCCGTATATATTTATACAGTTCCCCTACATCAGGGAACTTTGAGGTTGCTTAAGCATGTGCAAATAAGCTGAAAACAAAAAAATGCCAGGGCACCCTAGCTGGTTTGGCTCAGTGGATAGAGCATCGGCCTGTGGACTGAAGGTCCTGGGTTCGAGTCCAGTCAAGGGCACATGCCTGGATTGTGGGCTCGACCCCCAGTAGGGGGCATGCAGGAGGCAGCTGATCAATGATTCGCATCATTGATGTGTGTGTGTCTCTCTCCCTCTCTTCCTCCCTCAATACAATTTTTTTTTTAATGCCAGGGGACCCTAACTGGTTTGGCTCAGTGGATAGAGCATTGGCCTATAGACTGAAAGGTCCTGGGCTTGATTCCAGTCAAGGGCACATACCCAGGTTGCAGGCTTGGTCCCCAGTGGGGGGCATGCAGGAGGCAGCCAATCAATGATTCTCTCTCATCATTGATGTTTCTATCTCTCTCGCCCTCCCTTCCTTGCTGAAATCAATAAAAATAATATATTTTTAAAAAAATGCCAGGGGTGGGACAACAGGAACCCTAAAATATTTACCACATTATAATTTACAATATTAATTTAATTTGTATGAGTAGAGTTGCTCAGTTAATAACACACATTTATGAGCATAATATGTTTTTTCCATGAAATCATGATGTTTTCAGTGATGTTAAAACCTAAATTAGGAAGATTTTTTTCACCCCTAATTTGGTGAGGAGTTTATTGTCCTGCATGCCTGCCCCAGGACTTCCCTCACAGTTTTTAGGATGGTTCCTCAAACTGTTTAGGGTATTTCCCTTTATCCAAATGTTTTGGTATTTTGAAATACAGTCTCACGCGATGTGATGACATTTTGGTCAAGGGTGGACCACATATACGACGATGGTATACTACTTAGCCGAGGTGTGCAATAGGCTACCCCGTCTAGATGTGTACATGCTCTCTGTGATCCCACAGCACAATTGCCTAATGACAGTTCTCAGAATGTATCGTTGTTCAGTGGCACAAGACTAGATATATGCAGGAAGTAGTATGATGGTGTTTCCTGATAAATTAAGTAGTTGATGAAGAAGTGATAGAATTTGCCTTGGCTGGTGTGTTTCAGTGGTTGGAGCATTGGCCCTGTGCACCAAAGGGTCTCGGGTTCAATTCCCCATCAAGAGCATGTGCCTGGGTTGCAGGTGCACTCCTCTGGTCGGGGCGTGCAAGAAGCAATCACATCGATGTTTCTCTCCCTCGCCCTTCTCCCCTTCCTCCCTCTCTCCCTTTCACTCTCTCTGAAAAACAATGGAAAAGATGTCTTCTGGTGAGGATTAACAACAGCAACAACAAAATAAATGATAGAATTTATGATGACATTTGTGTCTGGGCCCATTTTTCTTAGCGGTTCTTTTTCCCTTCCCATGCATAGTAGACTATGTTGACTTCTCTTTCTGTCCTTATGCTGCCCAAAGGAGAAATACTTATTTGTATCTTTGCCACTCTGTAGTTTTCTTTGTTTCAGGTTTTCCCCCCTTTTCCAGGAGGCAGATTAGCAAAATGTTTTTAGAACAAGACAGACCCAAATTGAAGCGAACTGTAGTTTCACTTTTTATTGACTGTGTTTGTAGTCAAGGCACTAAACCTCTTTGAACTCTAGTTAGTTCTTCTGTAAAATAAAAAGACCCTCTCTGGAAAGGGTTGTCCTTAATGTACATAAAAATGTCTTAAAATAGGTACACAATACAGTGTACCTTTTTTACATTTTAATTTTAAAGTAAAAAAGAAACTACCATTACAAGGGCTCCATCCTGCACTCTTAGTTTATGAGGAATTTGTATAAGGCTCAGACGAGCTGAGGGACCTGAGCAAGGCTAGGGGAGGGCAGTGTGGATGCCCCTGGACCTCAGTGTCCTTTCGGATCCACTGCACTTTCTTTATGCCATTCATTTCTCACTGTGCAGACGCATGGTAATGGCGGTGTTTGCTGTTCTGTGTGAACTGATCCTGAGTTTGACCTAAATTGCCTGGGTAGAGATTACATTTGTATAGACTCTTAAGGATAGTTCTGTGGACACTTTCTAAAATAGGGTAATTACTTTGCCCATACTTATGACTTCATTTACTAGACTTTATAATAGGAAAATGGATTGGAAAACCTCCTAAAATCCCATCTGGTCCTTTGATGTGTAAAGGGTTTTCAGTTACCAGGAATTGTTCCAAACACATATAAAACTGGTCCCTGTTGTCCAGAATTGTCTTTCTAAGGTGGGGGGATGCCTGTGTGTGCATGCGCGCGCACACACACATACAAGTGGTTGCAATCTGTTGAAATCATATTTTTCAGATTTACGCTATTGAAGCATTTGCTTATCATGAGTAAAAAGAAAACCAGGTGTAAAAATTCATTATGTAATAATCACGTTTCCTCATTTACATTTGGGAGATCATTTACCGCTTCTTTTGAAGAAGAACTAGAATATTTTTGTAGCGTACTGTCTCTCCAACAAAGGTCTTTCTTTGCAATATAAATCAAACCGTCAAACACTTACTGAATGCCCAGAGGATACTGAGATTAATAGATGAGGCTCCTACCCTCAAGTAGCTTAATCTAGTAGAAGGCAAATAATCTTATATAATAAAAGGCTAATATGCAAATTGTCCTCTCCACCAGGAGTTCAACCGGGAGTTCGACCAGGGGACGGGGACGGCCAGCCAACTGCCCGCAGCCCCTCCACCCAGCCCTATCGGGGTGGGCCGCCGGACCCCAACCGTACATGAATTCGTGCACCGGGCCTCTAGTTACTATATATTGAGACAAGGATGATGATACAACTGTGATAATAATACAAAGTTCAGTGGTAGCAGAGAGGAAGTAGTCCTTAAGTTAGGTCTTGAGTTTGCCAGCTTAGGCAGAGAAAACAGCATATACCAAGTCTGAAAATCGTGAAACATCTTGGCAGTTGGGAAGCTACTTGCAGTAGCTTTAGTAACAGGAAGGTAAGACTGGAGACTTAGGCGAGGGCCAGATAATGGAGAGCTTTGTGTTCAGTGCTGTACACTTCACACCAATCAGAAAATACTGTGAACTTGTACCAAGAGATTGGTGGTGTTTGCTGTTAGTCAAAGGTGAACTCTCTTAAATTGATTTTCTCCATTCTTTTTAAGTTAGTTATTAGCACACTGACAAGTATAGAGGAAGTAATGTTTTCATTAGGGTTTTAAAGAACTAATTCATTTTACTAAGTATCTCCAATATTATGGGTGGTTTTTGTTGTTTTTTAATCTCATTTTAAGTTACATTATGGCCTCT